TTTCACTTTGCTGAGGACTAAAACAAGCTGTTGAACACTGTTTCCATCAAAGTCTCAGAAAATGGAGTGGATGCGAAATAACCTTGTCAATAATCATCATATGCTAAACCACAAAAAATTCCTGACGGAAATTTTTCTGAGATTTTCTCTAAAGCCTCTAACAAGGGAGGCCTCCAATGTTTCTTGTTTAAGCAATCTCTTTCTAGTATACAAGTGCTATCCCACTAGCAAAGTTTTTCTTAGTTTCTAGAAGGAACGTAAAGCAAGCAAGATTCTGGTCCGAACGCTGACTTTTTTCATGGCAGTACACAGCATTACCAGTCCCTCTCAAACTGATTACGCCTGTAAGTTAATGTCCTACCATTATCACACAGAGAAAACTCATCAGTACTGGTTGCGTGCTCAGATATCTGCATATCTTTTCTAAACCTAACAATCCCATCTGAGTTCTAACAGAGGCAAAAATCATACTCTCTTACCTACTTGCATGATTGGCTTTGGAAGCATGAAATATTAAATTATTAATATAGCATCTTTTTAAGAAAGCATCCAAATGCACAAAAACCCCACTTAAGCAGCATATTAAACCATCTAAGCCACTGAGCCTCTTGTTAACACACTAAACCTTCTGGCATGGTCATGCAGGCAGTCCTGTATCCTCCAAAGGGTATTCTGAGGCTGCACCTGGGGGCTGTGCTTGAAAATTAGTTCTCTGGATGGACAGCAAATCCATCTTGAAAGCAGCCTCAGGGCATCCCTTCAAAAGCAGGTCTAAAAAGAACCAAGATGACTTCTTGCAGTAATAACAGTAAACCCATGAGAAAGCACTGTTTGACTGGGGCCTATATGAAATGCTCCTCCTCAGATAAAATTTTAAAATTTTGTTTTCTCACCAAAGCAATTATGAGACGTGTGTTCAAATTTATAGCAACAGCTTATGGGGGGGGGGGGAAGAGAGGAGGATAATGATGATGGAAAAATAGCTATAATACATATTAATTAGCTAACCTTTGCATGGAAACTTCTCCCCGAGGTGATTCAGGACCTTGGGAATTTAATGTTCCAACTGAAAATACTTCCTCTGCCTTCTAAATATTTAACTCACATAACAACATTTATTTATATAATACACTTAATGACACAAATGTCTTGGATTTATCATCTCAGATTCAAGGACATCTGTAGCTTTTCAGTAGCTGTCGTGCATTTTAAAGCAGAATAAATTTCATGGTACATTCCAAGGGAGTTGAACTAAGCTGACTATGTATTAACATGGTAACGTAGTCTACAGGGACAACTGGACAGATTATCAGCTGTCCTGGTCTAATATGTCCATAATTAATGTTTGAAACAGTTCTGTTAAGTTATTACTATTATTTCAGATCACTTTAGTGTCTAATTTGTTTTATACCAGGCAAAGAGATAATTTCAAGAATCCTCACGTTATATTCAATTCAAAAATACATACAAGCAAAGCCATGTAAGATGCTCCCTGTTTGCATCCAACTCTTTGAATCTTGTATTTTTATGTAATTCTTTTACGTAACACTTCTACGTGTTTTTTCCATTTTACTCACACTCCTTTTAAAATATTTTTAGCACAAACTTCCAGGCGTTTTGCAGTGAACACAACCTGCCCTTCCAAAAAATAAAAACCCAAACCAACCCTGCATTAAAACTTAGGAAAACTCATTACGTTCATTAGCAGCTGGTCTTCAAACCGAACCATAACGGCTTGGTTTTGTGTTTTTTTGGT